GAATGCCAGTTTAATTTAATTGTTCCGCAATCCAAGATTTAATATGCAAATATCATTTTGATATATAATAGTGAATTTAACAAAGTGAGGAAACAAATTCAATATACAACCAGACTGCCTTTTCTGAACTGTAATTATATACAATAAAGAAGCTGGCCGAGTTTACTTCCCCCCGCCCTGTTATTAGGATTGAATTCTATTAACATGAATCAGAACAAATGTAATTAAAGGTTAAAATTTTAAAATGTATTCTAATTAAGAGTCTAAATAGCTCTACGATTAGAATACTGTAGTTAAAAATCGTACCTCAATGATCTTCTTGGCCTCTTTATAATTTCCTGTTTGTAGGAAGGCAAAGAAGAGATCATAAAGCATCGTCATTTCACCTTGTTCTTGGCTCACAAAGTCCATTGCTGGAGAAAAGAGAAGAAAATATATATATTAGAAGAAAAATAAAACACAAAATCATCTAAAAGTCTGGACAAACACAAGAAAACTCAGAAACAAGTTATTTAGACAAACTTATGGATTAAAGGTATTTCAACTAACTTTCTGTCATACCCCTTATCTAATAGCATACATGTGTAACACTAAGTACCTAGGACTACCGTCAAAAAAACCACTGAGGGTTAAGAGTAAAACCACCTCCATAAAGGCAGATGAACTAAAAGTAGAGCACAGACATAATAGATGAGCAACTTTTCAAAATAAACAGTTACTAAGATCAAGGACATTTATAATATTGAAAATTCACCTGATGTTTTTCTTCCTAAGTCAGAAGTATAACAAAGCTTCTCTGCATAGGCTTACCTTCTCTTCTACTTTTCTCTTCATGACAATACATTAAGCAGGGCCAGTTGGTAGCATGGTAGCTAAGGAAGCTGGATGCAACATGGCTGCTGACTGTGTTGTTTGAGTCCCAGACCCAGTGGCTTAAAACGCGCACTAGGCGTGCGTGTGTGTATGCCCAAAATCCCAAAAGGAGGGAGAGATAAGGAGAAAAGATTATGGCATGAACATCTCCCATTGGGGGTGCTCTGTCATTGACCCTCTCTAGCACATGCCCTCTAGCAACAAATAAATAAATAAACAAACAAACATAAATAAATAAGCAACTAGGAAGAAAAAAAGAGTCCACTATACTAAGGTATTAAGTAACTAACCTTTCTGAATTAGTTCAGTCTCGCCTTTCTCTATCAATTTACATAAGACATCATGAATCCTTGGTAGTATTTTATACTTTTCGTAGCAGTCAATGGTGACTTGAAGAGCAGTAGATAAGTCATCCCTTGGAAACAACAAAAAACAGTGAATAAAACATTATCTAATTCAGTTTAGGCTCTCAAAATAGTTTAGAAAGATGTATAAATGACCAATCAAAATGTAAAACAACTGAGCTTTATTAATGCAAAAAACCACAAAACCAAAATGGAAGAAAAAAAGGAGAAGCAATCCTAGTGCATAAATAAATGTTCAGAATATACACATTAGCAGTTTACTATTTTTCACTGCTTCATCTTTTCTCTCTCGTACTTAGTGGTACCTTTAAAAAAGTCCAAACAGAAAGAATGAAAGCATTTTCTGATTATATTATAAATAAAAGCTAACATTATGTAATAAGTTGCTGTAATGTATTATTTCTAAAAGCAAGGACTACCATCAAATATTTTTTCTAAGTATGATGTGCCTTTACTTTATGTCCCTCAACAACTTCACATGTGGGAAGAAACTTTATTAAGTATCTATCAATAGCTATTAAGGAATTTTCAAGCACTTTCAACTTTATCATAAAATTTTTTATAGTGCCATCTTACTAGGAAGTTGGAAATAGCTGACGATTCATATACAGTCATCCCTCAGTATTCTCAGGGGATTGATTCCAGGACTCCTCATGGATACCAAAATCTGAAGATGCTCAAGTCTCTTAAATAAAATGGCATAGTATATGCACATAAGCTATGCACATCTTCCTATATACTTTAAATTGTTTCTAGATTACTTATAAATGCTACATAAGTATTAATAGTTGTTACATTGCTTTTAAATTTGTTATATTGCTATGTAATTTGTACTGCTACTGCTAATGTTTCTGATCTGCAATTGGTTGACTCTGCAATGCTAAACCCACAGAAACAGAGAGCTGACTGTATACAAGAACTTAACTACTGCTAAAAGGAGGATATTCTTGTGGATTTAGTGAATTCTAGGAGAATGCTAACATTTTTTCATTAGAAATAAAATAATAAGTTAATAAATAAATAAACATAATTTAAAAATTAAATTATGTTTAATTTAAAAATTATTTCCAGTTACAAAGTTAAGGTTTCTCTTATGTGGTGACTAACAAGATATTTTCATTAAGTGTAAGTTTCTTAAACAAGAATGTAGAAATACATTTTGTGGGTACTTGAAAAGTACTTTTCTCCTGTAAAAGGAAAATGACATGAGAAATAAGTTAAGAGGTTTCTACTGGCCACTCCAGGAAGCCCTGGTGAGCAGGTCCTTGACTTCCCACTCTCAATTCAGTATATCTAGTTATTACCGGGTCCTCAGAAAAATCATGACTCATTTCTGCATAGAAAAAATCCATCATGACTTTTCTAATGACCAATACATTATACTTTGCTAAAAGCACCATTGTTCAAGTAATCTAATAAGATGATACAATCTGAAATACGATTTTTGAAAAGAGCAAAGATGTATCCAAAAAGAAGCATGGTTAGAAACACAGACTGACGTAGAATTCCTGCCGATCTTCAGAGAGAATGCGAATTTCTCTCACATGTGCAACAGTTTTCAAAAGGAAGAAAGCATTTAACTTTTTTCTTTTAAAGTCTTAACATCTTTGTCCATTATTCAAATGTGATGTTGCCCTAGATTGAATTACTATTTTATCTAGATTACGATTTGAAACTGTACTAAAAAAGGTAAAATACAATGAAGAAGCGCTAATTTTATTGCAATAATACTGACACAGTGACAACGAGCCTGTCCTGATGGAACCCCACCTTACCCCCTTCTGAAGCCCTGTTTACAGTGCATCTTCTGGCACCCCACAGAGTCATTTGAATTTTTGTCATTTGGGGTGAAGACTAAATTACAGGTTAATTTCAAAACCGCAAGTAGATGTTGCAGGCTAGATTACTGTCATACAAGAGAAATGCTACAGTAGCTACCACGTATGATATAAAGCTTCATATAATCAGTATTTTCCCTTCCTTCAGACACAGGTTCACTTATCGCCTTTTTACAATTCCACTTAAATCAAAACTAGTACAACATTTTTTAAAGAGCAAAGCTAAGACATACTAATTTTTTTAACTGGCAGGATTTGCTTTTTCAAGTTCAATTCCCAAACCAGAACAGTACTAGTACTGTCTCAATTGTATTTCCCCTACATTAGGTCAAAGCTATCAATAAATGAATGAATAATTGTTCTGTCAATCAAGGCGACAAGTTAATAGTCTCTGGTCTGCAAATATATGCTTCTGAGAATAACACATGCTCGGAACAACAACAGGAAAGATGAGAAGAATAAAGTGGAAATAATTCATATATTTGTTAGCAATTTTAGGTACCAATATTACTGCTCTTAGGTTGCCAACAAAATGAATTAGAAATCTATAGTGAAACACCTCATGTGAAGTGTACTGAAGATAGAAATGAACTAAATGACTAGTTGGTTCTTTTGGGTCCTTCCGATCTACGTTCTGACTTATGGCTGGATCGTATCACCACAAAAAAGATAAACATTTGCATACCTCGTGTAATTAATGTTGACATTCATCTTTCTAGTGATACTTGAAAACTTAAAAGATCAGAAATGAAAAAAAGCGGGGGGAAAAGTACCTAAAATTCACACTGCTCGGAAGATAGCTATATCCCCTTAGGACTTCAGAATTCAGTTCCACCTGTAAGTACGACATGCCCCGCTGCTGGGATGATCGAAGCAGATTATTGCGATGGTGAACTCAAGGACCTGGAGTTCCCTGGAGTTCTAGTATTGTCAGGGCTATGAACCTGCACATATGAGCTTCATCTACTCCCATGTTTCATGCCAGCAGAGACATGGCACTCACTTTTATGAGGCAGGATGAAATCGATAAATGAGAGAAGCACTGCATGAAAAGGAGAAAGGTTTGGCAACTACAGTCAGAATGTGGGATGCTCATTTCTAATCAGTACACTGCTAGCTTCCGGTGGTCGGTAAGTGCCCTTGTATACTAGAAATGGTTTAAAGCCCTACTCAAAAAATAGCAATCCTTTAAACAAAATCTTGTTGATACATTAATTCTGCATTCAAAATTTTGATTCCATGTTCATTTCAGTATATATGTTTAACTCCTGATGATTTCATACAATTTTTTAAGTGCACCCCTAATAAAAACTTATTCAGTGTTCACAAATCTTAACACTAAAAGAAAATAAATTTTGTAGCATACTATTATTTCTTCAACCGACTACATAAAGTTTCATGAATAAAACTATATATGCTAATAAAAGTCTGCTCTCATTTAAATAATACTTTGGTTGATGCAAATTAATAATAGATGCTTTGACAAAATTCTCTGAGCCTATAAAATAAAGGCAGAACTGGGGAAAAGAAGATACTCACTAAGCCTGTATCAAAATTCACTGTAGACTCCATAATTCATTTTTAAGTGTATAAGAGACACACAAAACTAGAATAAACTATAATTTTTCACTATTACATAGAGGAGCATCCCAAAAACGCAAGCTTGAAGATCACATGGCCACTCTAATGTATCTCTTGTTTTAATTCTTGTTATAAAATTTAAGTACGTTATTCAGTCACGGACAGAAAAACAAACACTAGGTATATATAAGCTTGCTGGACTTAACATTTGTTAAGAGGCAAAACTGATCATAAGAATATCGACTTCAAGGTACCAGGAAACAAAATAACTCGTAACTCAAATACATGTAAAAATCCTAAGTGTTTCATACAATTTTGAATCATTAAAACAACTCTAATCTAGACAATATACTGAATGTAAGCAACAAAAATGATGACAAATATTGATTTTTAATTGGAATAAAGTGCTTCAACATTATGCATCAAGTGTTAGCGAAGTGGCAATTTACCTAAAGGGGTTACTGATTGAAAAGCTCTCAAATCAGAAATCACTAGAGAAAAGAAGGACTCTGTATGTGTCAGGGAAGGGATGTAACCAAAAACACACACACGCGTGCGCGCGCACACACACACACACACACACACACAAACAAAAACAAACTCAATACCCTAAAAACAAACTATCCTACAAATCTTAAGCAGATGTTTAGTAGGGGTAGAAATCAATTCATGAGAAACCATCATCTTCACAAAAAGGATTCGGTTAAAGAGAACCAGTCCTTGAAAGAGCTAATTTTTTTTTTCTGTTCATCATCTATAAATGAGGAATCTTCAAGGAGACTGGTGTTGCAATTACAACTAATCCTCCCCAAAAAATTAACTGTGTTGAAGGCTTTGTAATTTCCCTAGGTACAATTTAGCTGTCACTTACTTTAAAATTTACTCAAACATGCGTTCGGAACAGCACTAACTTCACATGTCAAGTGCTTTCCAGCCAATTGAGTCTAAACTGGAAGTCGGTGTTAAACAACTGAATGATTAGACAAGATAGCTCATTTCCCTGCTCTTTTGTTCAGAATAAAATGCCACATTTACATTATCAGGCTCAACAGGATTTTCTGACAGAGGGAGAAAAAAACCCTACTGCACACTGTCCGTACTAAGCACATGAAGCCTGTCATTTACCAATCATCCTTCAAAAAGCAATAGCCATGAATGTAACTTAATTACGACCCAATGATCCTTGACGAAAAATCATCTTATCACTGTCCTGTCCCCCTAGGGCAAATGAACCACTTTTTGTCCTTTGGCACTGATGATGCTAAATTCTTAATTGCAATAATGGAGTAAAAGAGCCAAACCTCCTTAATTTCCTTTCACCACATAAAGACTATTACTCTAGAAGGCCAGCATTCCCATAAATAATCAAAGTATCTAGTACAAATGAAGATGCTAAAATTGAAAGGGAGTGTATAGGACAGAATGACAAGCATTTTTTAAAAAGTGTATCTCTTACTTATGTAACATAAGAAAGTGTTACAGTGACTTTTCAAAACTTGTATTGTTTTAGGTTCATCTTAGAGAATGGTGACCTTTATGAAGAACTGAAGCTTAATTTAGCAAGAGGTCTGGGAAGATTATATATACAAGTCCATGCTGCACTTAAATGAAATGCATATGCACATAGACAGATTGTAGCACAAATCAGCACACAAAAAAAGACCCTTAATGGAAAGCAGAAATTAAAGCCGCTTTGATCGTTTCCACTAATATAATCCAGTTAAACAGCTTCAGATATTTTTCACATGCAATGAAACCAAAATGGATCGGCTACGAAACAAGCAAATCTGAAACTGCACCATACACATTTCTATGCTCTTCCATCTGACGATGACCCAGATTTCACTAATTTCATTTTCTTTACCATACATGAAGACCAATCAAAAGCTCTCTTAACCTATTTTAAAGCACTTTTTTTCTTCCTTAATATGGAAGATCCTTGTCAACTGCACAAATCAGGCATGATTTCAATTTAAAAAAAAAAATTAAAAACAAAGTACTTGCAAAAGCAAATATTTAAAATAAAATTCACTTGGACTACATCTATTAATAGGTAGATGGCAACATTCACTTGACTACATCTAGAGGCTTATCACTGTGATGTAATATAAATGAAACTCAAAAATTTTGTTTATCTTTTCTGTTTAATCTGAGTGTTATCATTTTGATAATACAGAAGCAAGTCAGCTCACTGACTTATTTGTAATTTTTAAGCCTGTTATTCTTGTGAACTTCCCTTGGCAAAAGTATAAAAACATAATGAATTCTTTCAGCACCCACAAAGCATTTTTACATTATCCAGAACACAAACCGACACAGTATTAATTTCTCCCATGTTTTACCCAATGCTGGAAAAGTCACTTCAAAACTGAGATCTATCGAATCTCAAAGATTATCTTTCTAAAAAACTCAATCTTGTGGTTATATTGCAGAACTACAGTATGAAAATGATATCCTCTTTAGAGGATAAAGATGCACTCCTCTGAATGAAAGGATCAAGATTTTGATGATGTTTTAAAATGTTTTTCATCATTTTACTGCAAGTTTGAATAAGACCCACTCCCCGGATGAGCTCATACCTGCTGAGGTCAATTACATGATATTATTGAAGATTAAACATATTTAATCAAATCAAATACATGTGGATTTTTTGGCAGGCTAGTGTAGTTAATCCTAGTACTTGTTAGGAATCTAAATTAATTGGCTCTATCTTCCATCGGTTGGGAAAAACATAACTGGAAAAAAGTTTCAAAGTCATGTTTTATTTCAGTATTCCCCTACACTAAGAATGCTACTGTTTTCTGCAATTTTATAAATATGAAATTTCCCTTATCTCTTTGTTATTCTTATGACTCCAGAAAATAGTCAAACAAAATCTTTTTCTTATGACATGTAAAATGAAAAGGCCCTACTTTTGCAAAGCAAAGAAGGCAGAAAACAGGGCCATGGTTAAAAAGGCAGTGTTAAGCCCTCTGCACTGGGCGCCAGATCCCGTATGCATGCTCTGAATCCTGACAGGATGGGGAAACAGAGGAAGGAGGATTGTACTGACAGTGTGACCAGGCACTGGACCCTGCTCCCCACCTCTCTCTCTCTCTAGCAAGCACAGGTGCCCTCTGGCCATTAAAAAAAGATGATGATGAAGAAAGAAAAAAGTAAAACTAGTAAAATAAAAAATTAAAGTCGAGGTAAAATAAAAATAGAAGGTAATATCTTCTATATGTATTTGAAAATAGTAAGGATATTATAAGAGAAAAGATACTAATTTAAATTTCTTTAGCCAAATGAATAGAAGAACCCAATTTGACAGACATCAAACTATCTGACTGTAACATGAGAAGCATGGAGCGACCTCCAGGTTAACATCTGAATTCCAGGCTGATTCCATTTTCCTTGAGCAAGCTCTCCTTGGTTCGTGAGCCCCATCTGCAGACCTCTTTGGGAAAACTTTCACGTCTCCTCTGTCTTCAAAGTATTTCTATCTGTAAGATACTTTTCTATCATGGCCTCATTTTCATTGTTAATTATTTTATTTTTGCCCAGGAGTGTAGGAGGGTCTAATTCTTCTGGGCACTGGGCCCATTTCTTTCAAATCCCTGCGCAGAGCTCCACACACAATTTGCAGAGATGGGTCTTTTAAACAATCGAAAAAACTCTAGTAGGAAGCATAATAATTATAGGATTTCTATATAAAGTTGGCTGCGAATATGAGAACTCGATAACACAGTAATTGTTTGAATCATTATTTCTTTAAAAGAATGTAATGCTGAGATTGTAGAGATTAAAATTTGGCCAATCATCTATCTTGATAACTGTTTTTGATTGGATGGCAAAGGAATTATTTTGTATGTATATGTGCATGTGAACACATTTCCTAGAGAAAGCTAGTTAAAAGAGAGAGTTTTTATTCTATATTTTAAATTCAATAGCTACCATTTAGCTATGTTCAGTTACTTATACCCAATTAATATAAATTTTAAAAACTAAAAACTACCAGAATTTAGGGAAGAACATGGGAACTGTTAAGACTTATGTCTTATTTTTCTCCTGGCACTTGATAGGGCAACATCCATCCTAGAGTCAGAAAAAAAAAAAAAATCACAAAAAAAGCAGATTACAAACTACATTAAACCATGGAAAAGATGGTAAAGAGGTAAGATCTTAGATATTAAAAAAGCAAAACAGGAAACAAAAACAAATGGAAAAGATACTGAAATGTTTCACTCATCACAAAAGAGTGGACTGACTTAATGATTTGCATTGCAAATAATATCTTAAATTGGGTACCAACATGAGCATTTCAAACTGGAAAATTTTCCAAACTCTAATTCTTGCCCTGTCAACAAAATTCATCTTCCCACAAGGTCGGGACTTCTACAATATCTATCAAAGCTAGGGTAACTATATCGGTAGATGTAATTAAAGTACCACATGGAGGCCAAGGGAAAAAAAAAAAATCACTAGAAAGATACCACTACATTAACCTGAATAAGAGACATGATACATAATCAAAAAGCACCAGGGGATCTTTATTCTTATGTTTATTAATAATTAACACTTATTAGGCTCAAAATTGGGAAAAGGTAGATTCAATTTCATGTAATATCATTATATGCTCTTACAAAAACAAGTCGCCTGAGATCATTCCATTGAGAAGTCAGCTGGAGGACCAGAAGGCTGCTATTGATGATAAAGGTCACCTAGTCCATATTAGTCTTCTCATACTGTAGCAAATGACCTCCAAGACTCTGCGTAGCCTGGGTATTTACTAAGCATAATCCCCAAATGATTCAGACTCATTCTTCAATGTCAACATTTAAAATTCAAAATTCAATTAACTTACTTTTCCAGGTATACAGTGACCAATGGGGAACTTAGGTTGGTGGATGGCTTTGCTAACCCTAGAGTCACGATGGCTTCATGCAACTGTTTTACTGTTTCAATTTCACCTCTTAAAGCTGCTCCATTTAGGATGTGGAAAAAGGACAGGACTGTTGCATCTTTGATAAGAACATCCTTCTCTTTCATCTCCTTTAGAATGTTAATAGCATCTACAATGAAGTAACACAAAAGACCCTTAGGTAATTTCATGTAG